AGATCCTGCCTCAGCTTCATTCCCTATTTACCAACTCCATTTCTTTCCCTGACAACATCTTAAGATTAAACAGTCTTGTTTGCAACGCTGGTGCCATTTCAGACCCCAAGTTGGTCTTCCCACCACATCTCCTGACTTTGGCACTACTTCAGCTCATCTGCTGCCTCTAGACCCTGATCCATGCTTTTGTTACATCTGCATTTGACTATTTTAAGTAGCTCCTGGTGCCCAATGTTCTTCATTTGATAAGCCTTACCTTAAAGTCCGATCAAATTCCATTCCTCATCACACGTGCTCACTGACCTACCGTGGTACCTGTCAAGCAAAACCCTGAGTTGAAAATTCTCATCCTTGTTGTCAAAACGCTCCATGGCCTCACCCCTGTCTATCTCTGCTATCTCTTTCAGACCCACAAAACCTCCAGATATCTACACTAATGAAATTCTGGGCTCTCCAGCAGACTCAATGTAATTATTCCACCAAAGTTGCCTGGATCCCAAATTCTGGAATTCCGTCCCTGAACCTCTCCTCCATTTTATCTCTTCCCCTTAAGATACTGCTTAAATCCTACCTCTTTGACCAAACTTTTGGTCACCTAACTAAATATTGCCTTACGCAACTCAGTGTTATATTTTGTTTGAGGAAGACTTCTGAGTGTATTCTGACAGTTTCCTGGAACAATATGTTGTGCATCCAACCAGAAATTAGGCTAGTTTGGACTTGGTAATATGTAAAGAGGCAGGTTTAATAAATGATGTCATAATAAAAGATCCCCAGGGAAACAGCTTGAGAGTGAGAAACAGGTGTCAGAAACAACTTAGACTTCAATAAGAATAACTACAAAGGAATGATGGTTAAAGCTGGCTGGAATGGACTGGGAAAGGAGTTTAGCAGAAAAGACAGTTGAGGAATACTGGTGAATATTTAAGAAAATAGATCATTACATGCAACAAATATATATCCCATTGAGGGAGAAGGATTCTAAGAAGGGGACAAGCCACCATGGTTAATAAGGAAGTTAAAGATAGTATCAGATTGAAAGAATAAACCACACAATGTGGTAAAGATTAGCGATAAGCCAGATAATTGAGAAAATTTGAAAAACCAACAGAATACGACCAAAGAAAAAGAAAATAAATTTTGAAGGCAAACAATTAATACAAAATGGACAGTAAGTGTTTTATACATAAAAAGAAAGAGAGAAGAACATAAGTCCCTTGGAGAATGCGGCTGGGAGAATAATAATGGGGAACCAGGAAATGGCAGAGAAGTTGAATTAAAAACTTTGCATTAGTTTTCACAGTAGAAAACATGAATAGCGTTCCAAAATTACTAAAAATAAATCAATGGGGATATAGCGGAATATATACAATAACTATCACTAATGAAGAAGTATTAGGGAAACTAATGGGGTGAAGACCTGATGGGAAACATCTTAGGATTTTAAAGGAAGTAGCTTCAGAGATAATGGGTGCACAGGTAGTAATCTTCCAGGAATCCTTACATTCTGAAATTGTCCCAGAGGATTGGAAAACCCAATATGTATTTAAAAAGGGGAAAAGCCAAAAAAATGGTTACTTACAAATGTGAGGAGATTAACATCTGGCATTGAAATTCACCAACCTGCCCAGCCCAGCCTTTGTCCATCTGAAGAGCTGAGTGTTTGATGACAAAGACCTCAAACCAGGCACCAAGCCCATGGTCTACACGGCAGCAGTGTTCCCTGCCTCCTATTTGTGGTGGAGACATGGACAATGTACAGCAAATCTGTGGGGAAATATAACCAAAAATCCTCCATGATATCATACAAATGCCCTGGCAGGACAGATGCTCCGTTATCAGTATCCTCTCTCAGGCCAACATCCCCAATACCAAGACACTGCTTACAGTCAATCAGTTGGCACTGAGAGCCAGCTCATCCACATGCCTGACACAAGAGTCTCACAATGAGCTCTATGCTCTGAGCTTCGTCACGGTAACTGAGCAACAGGAGAACAGAGGAAAAGG